GTAAACTGAGCTTCGATAAAATGGTCCCGTTCTCGAAAACATGCTTCTATGGAATTGTCTTCGGTCAACTGTCGTAGACCTCTGCACGAGTGAAACTGAGCAGTAGTTGTAGGTGCAGCACATTCTGTAAGCATAAAATAAAGGCACACAGCCAAACAACGCACCTCAGTGATGCCTAGCAGACCACTAAACAAATAAATATTTAACACGGGGTACTATTCTGTTTCATACCTCCAACATTACCGTCCCGCTTCGGCTCGTCAGTATACTTCGTTTCAGCTTCGGTTTAGAGGCAAAGCTACAAGCGCCAGCTCCGGGCTTTCAGCATCCCTGCCAAGCATGCGCGCTCGTGCAGTGCAAGCACTGTTCTGGGCCACATGCTCGCGCTTGTAGCATTGTTGACAGCTGCTCCGCAAGGAGGCTTTCCGGACATGCGGAAACATCTCAATACAAGCACTATCCACCCCTGCTTAACCACATGTTCTTTACGAACATAACTCGGCTTCCTAGCAATATTTTAGAACGCCATAAGTTAAAGAATATTTTCAAACAGTAAAAGCCTATCTTGCAATTGCGCAACATAAACAGAACAGTGCAGGTAGAGCTGCATGGCCACTTTCTACTTGTCCGGATTCATACAAAATATGATTGTCGTTAGCAAACTTTTAGGTAATGAAAACAGGAAAATGAACAAGAGTGTGTGATGGGTTTGGAAGGGAAAGAAACGTGGACAAAAGGCAAACACAAGCAATTTAGAACAGACGAGTCGACCCACCCAGCTAATGCTCTGTACGAACAATCTCAACCTTAAATACTACTTTCTATACAAATACAAGATACCCAGGATATTAAAAGATAAATAGTCACCAAAATTAACGTACCGATTGGGCAGTGCTGTTCGTAAATCAAAAAAATCGCCGAAGTCACAGCACGTTCACGAAACAAAACAGCCATCTTGGAAAAATAAAAATAGTGATGGTGATAGCGATGTGTGTTCTGTAAAAACTCCGAGGACAAATGTAGTCAATGTTTTTTCTTTAAATTTATGTATAGCACCTGGAAACGCTTTGGAAAACATACTTTACCTAGAAAAACTTCATTAAAATCATGGTGACAAAATAGTCTAAAGTTTAGGCATTTAGACGTGTTGAAATACACTTGGCAATGTCTACGTGGAGTGCAAGTTTGTCCGTTTCTTTTGCAGGGGTTGTGGTGATGTCAGAATGCAGAGCTCTGATTGGAGGATAGTGGATAGACCTGAAGGCAGCTAGCATTGTGTACCCACCATCCTTCAATCAGAGCTTGGCATTTCGACGTCACTACAACCCCTGCAAAAAAAAGCAGAACCTGCACTCCGCATAAACCTTTTCTCAGTAATTAAATGCAAACAGAACAGACCTGAGAACCCTTCTTGCTGATTGCCTTTCCTTGAAAGTGTGAATGGTCAAAAGTCAATGCCATGATAAGCTGAAATACTTCGGGCATAGCATGCTAAGGTGGCAAGAAAAATTAAACGGGGATAGCTATCTTCTTTTCATCAAACTTGTCGGAGCTTCATCTTTTGTATAATTACTGTCGTATAAAGAAGACAAAGTCTGGCAGCATGTGAGACGGTGAGCTGGCTGGGCCACGCGTGAGGGTCCGAGATGCGCATGACTGGCAGATACGCTTAAGGTTCGATAAAGGACTCACGGGTATTGGTTTGTGGCCCCGGGCTTTGACCTTTCTCTCGCCTCGGAACACGACATGGTGGCAGCAGTGGGATACTGAACAATCCTCCATCGTTTCTCGGGACCTGAGAAGCCGCACCAAACTCTGCAGTTCGACCGAAAGGCCAGCAAAGAAGATTCGAGCCGCTGCTAGATCTACGCCATGACTAGCAACGCAGACGGTTCGGGGGCTTCAATCTCCCAGGCCAGCAGAGGACCTTCCTTCTTCAACCCCTTTGCGGTCGAGCTACCGGAGAAGCTGGATTTCAGGAATCCGAGCGACTGGAAGGACTGGAAGGCGATGGATCATTCAGTGGGACCGCTACCGGATCATCTCGGGGCTTCATCTCTGTGACGCTTCAACTCAGGTGAAAACCTTCATCGAAGTGATGGGCAGAGGATGTCCTTTCTTCGCTCGAGATGACACAAGAGGAGCTGAACGACTACGACATAGTCAAAGCTAAGTTCGACACACACTTCATTCCGCGGGTGGACGTCATCTTTGAGAAAGCGAAGTTTAATTCTAGAAAGCAAGAGCTGGACGAGCCTGTGGAGCTCTTTATCACGGCATTGCACAGATTGGCGGATACCTGTGACTACGGCCCTTTAAGAGACGAGCTCATATAGGACCGCATTGTCGTCGGACTCCTGGACAGGAAACTAAGCGAGAAACTCCAGCTCGATGCTAAGCTTACACTGCAGCGCGCGACTACGGCAGCTTGATCATCAAACGGTAAAGCGCCAACAGACTGAGCTACGCAGCACAAAGACAGACGGCGACGTTCTTGAAGAACTCAGAAGACAGCCGAAAACAAAAAGCGAGAACAAGGACTTTCGGCGTCCGAACATGTTGCCTCTTTAAGCCCTGTCTAATAATTCGCCATGGACGTGCCGATGGTGTGGCAGTTCACGGAAACACGCCAAGTCTCAATGTGCCGCAAAAGACAAGAAGTGCAACGCCTGCGAAAAGCTAGGCCACTTTGAGAGAGTCTGTTTTTCCAAACACACTCGAGAAAATTTCAGTATACAAGAGCACAGACAAGGACTGAATGAAGTCTTCCTCGGCGAGTTGGTACACTCAAGCAACGGGCAATGTACCAGGGGAAGCCTGGTACATTACAGCCAAAGTAAACAACCAAGACATCACATTCAAGGTGGACACGGGGGCGGACGTCACAGCTATCCCTCCCAATATGTGCGACGCGACAACGTTTGCAACTTTGCAGACAACAGGGACGGATCTTTATGGAGCAGGCCACACTCCGCTGAACATGCTAGGCAAGTTCACAGCGACGGTAACGTGGAATGGGCGCACTACTAGAGAAATCATCTATGTGTCCGACCAGCTAAAACACCCACTGCTGGGGCAGCCTGCAATTGAAGCCCTTCAGGTGCTACCTAGCTTGAACAAAGTCAAAGCCGAAAGCAAGCCGGAGTATGACCACCTCCGTAAAAAATACCCCTTGTTTTTCCAAGGACTGGGGAAAATGAATGTGGAGTAGAAGATCGCGCTTCACCCTGATGCGAGACCATTCGCAATCGCATACCCGAGACGGGTACCTCTACCTCTGCTACCCAGCACTCAACAGGAATTGCAACGGATGCAAGACATGGACGTTATTGAGAGTCGACCATGCCGCAGCATGGTGCGCACCCATGGTGGTGGCTAAAAAGCAAGACAGTTCTCTTCGTATCTGCGTGGACTATACACAGCTAAACCCGCAACTGGTGCCGGAGCGGATCATCATGCCAACCGTAGAGGAGAGCTTGGCAAGACTCGCCGGGGCGACGGTATTCAGCAAACTAGATGCCAATGCCGACTACTGGCAAGCACCACTAGCCCCAGAGTCAAAGGAACTGACGACTTTTATCACACCAGTGGGACGGTTTCAATTCAAAAGACTCCCGTTTGGCATTGCGACAGCGCCCGAAGCCTTTCAGCGGGAGATGCTAAGGATCCTAGAGGGAATCCCAGGACAAGTATGTCATATGGATGACATCTTAGTTTTCAGTCGTGACAAAAGGGAACACAACAAAAATCTTGAGCTGGTACTCCGCCGCCTCCACGACTCCGGAGTGACCCTGAACACCTCAAAGTGTGAGTTCTCCAGGAAGAGCATCAGGTTTCTGGGCCACCTTCTGGACAGCGGCAGGACATTGCGGCAGACCCCAAGAAAACGGAAGCGATCATCCAGATGTCGGCACCTGGAAGCTTGGCAGACCTGCGATCATTCTTGGGGATGGTCAACCACCTTGGGAAATTTCTTCCCGACATAGCCGAGAAAACCAAGCCACTTCGAGATCTGCTACACGAGGATGCTAGCTGGCTCTGGAGCGAGCCTCAGGAAGAAGCATTCCTTAACATCAAAGATCTCCTATGCAAGACTCCTGTGCTCACACTCTATAAACCGGATGCACAACTTACATTGTCGACGGATGCGTCTTCGTTTGCACGGGGGGCGGTTCTGCTCCAAGAGGAAAACGGCTAAAGACGACCAGTGGTATATGCATCGAGAGCCACGACACAAATGGAGCAGAGATACGCCCAAGTTGAAAAGGAGGCTTTGGCCATCGTATGGGCCTGTGAACATTTCCGGACCTACTTGGTAGGAAAGGGATTCCACATCGAAACAGACCACAAGCCTCTGGTGCCACTGTTCACAACGAAACGTCTTGACGAAATGACACCAAGGCTACAGCGTCTGAGGATGCGCATCATTGAGTATGACTTTGCGATATCCCGCGTACCGGGCAAAGAGATGTTCACTGCGGATGTCTTCTCCAGGAAACCCCTACCGACCACACGCCAGTCTACAGACTCAAGGCACACCGTGGAGATCAGTGAAACGTTGGTTCACGAGTATGAAATGCTAACAGTGGAGCTCCTTCCAGCCTCTACCTCATTTTTGTCCAGACTGAAGGCAGAGCTTTCCAAAGACCCAACCACATCAAGGGTTATGGAATACTGCGAAAAACAATGGCCGGCAAGGAACAAACTTCCTCCGAACTTAAGCAAATTCGCGAGTCTCGCCGCAGACCTTTCGGTTGCGCAGGAATTACTAATGCGTAACGACCGGCTGGTGATCCCGCCTAGTCTGCAAGGAGAAGTCTTGGAGCGATTGCACAGCGGCCATCAGGGTGTTGTCCGATGCCGAGCAAGAGCCATAGAGTCCGTCTGGTGACGTGGCTTAAGCACGAAAATACATGACTATGTGAGTCGCCGTCCTACCTGTCAGCAATATAGACGACCACATACAGAACCACTTCTTCAGAATCCACTACCCGATCGTCCCTGGCAGGAAATTGGAACGGACGTTTTCCAGTTCAGGGGGAAGAAGTATATAGTCATCGTCGACTACTACTCGAAGTTCTTCAAACTTGAAGAAATACCTCGAACAACCACAGAGGACATTATCAAGGTTTTCAGCCAGAACTTTGCTAGACACAGTTGCCCAAAAGTCATCCGCTCCAACAACGGTCCCCAGTTTGGCTCAACCAAGTTCCGGTGATTCGCCAGAGAGTGGGGAGTCGAACTGTTTGCTTCAAGCCCGTATTATCCCCAGAGTAACGGAGAAGCGGAGAGAGCGGTGCAGACTGCGAAGAAAACCTTGAATTCAGCACAAGCTCTTCTGGTCCACCGAACCATCCCTGGGCCCAAAGGGTTTTCCCCTGCCGAACTTTTGATGGGGCAGAAGTTACGCTCCACTCTTCCAACGGCGCCCCGTACCTCTCTGGCAACACTCCAGGAGGTATCGGCAATGATACAGGAAACGGAAGACAAGATAGGCGTCTAACTATAATAGGCGCCACCGTACAAGAAATGGCAGGGAGCTACACCCACATGCAGCAGTGTGGATTCACGCTGGAGCGGCCGGACCACCTTGGTCTTACCTTGTAGAAACCGACCAAGGAACGATACGACGCACAAGGCACCATCTCCAGCCCGCGATTCCCGACAGCGACAGCCAGCAGGCCGGTTAACGGGAGAACGATCCTCAAGCAACCATAAGACGAAGTGGGAGAATTTCACGACCACCGGAACGCTATGGACAATGAGGCTGAAAGGGGGAGGCGTCGTATAAAGAAGACGAAGTCTGGCGGCATGTGAGACGGTGAGCTGGCTGGGCCATGCGTGAGGGTCTGAGATGCGCGTGACTGGCAGATACGCTTAAGGTTCGGTAAAGGACTCACGGGTGTTGGTTTGCGGCTCCAGGCTTTGACCTTCCTCTCGCCTCGGAACACGACAATTACCTTCTCGCATGTTTCACAGTAATCTGTGGAATGGATTTACGACACTCTTTTTGTGACGTGTACCAGTAGGTGTGCACTGTCATGAGAAAAAAATTTAATTTATTTAATTACGACAGGGAGCCACGAGAGGGGAAGATGGCAAGTCCCGATCCACTAAAAGGGACAGGGCATAAGAGTGAAGTCTTGCAAGGCTTGGTCCATGATTCAGGACGGTTTGAAACCTATGACGAATGAAGAGAACAAAGGAGTCCATCAGGTCAACAGGAACAATATCTGACCTAAACATGCAGGGCAATGAAGAGCAGGGGCGAATTTATAGGTCAGGCTGGGTGGGGTGGAGAGGGGAGAAGGGGGAGTTTGCAAGGAGATACTTATTTCACGGGCAAAATGCAGCCCAGATGTGTTTTGTTGACCTAATATTTGTTATGTCACCAAAAACTAATAATTTCTTCCTAAGAAAAGCTGGGGTATGTTGATTTTTCATTAAGAAAAAGTTAACCTGAAAAAAAAAAACTCCCCCTCCTTTAAAAAAAAAAAAAAAAATCTGCTAATGATGCAGAGCATTTGAGTATGCACCAAAACACTGAGGGAGAGGGGGAGACGAGAATGTGTGTGGACGTCAGAACACAGAGCTCTGGTTGGAATGACTAGTGGGTAGACCTAAAGGTAGTATACGGCTAGCAGTTCAAGAGGAGGAAGAAAGAACTCCCCTCTTGCTCACAGTGCTTGGACCCTTATTTTTGTACCCGCACATCACCACTCTTCCCTTGGAAAATTAGCCCTTTGATGCTCTTCGCTCAACATTCGGACGAAATTTGCCAATCCCCCCCCCACTCCGGCCTGTGGCTTCTACAGTACTACGCACAAATATCCTCCGTGCACCCCTAAACTGACAGTGCTGTGGAAACTATGTGCTCCTTGGGCCAGTCGCACTTGAGAATCTTTTGCCACATGATCACGCTCCCTCGCTTATAGCCACATTCGCAGAATGGGGTCAGGTGATGGACAGGGGGGCGGGCGAGGTTTGTCAACTAACGTCCCAACTTTTCACCCCCGCACGGATTGCGACAGATCTCGCGGTAGCTGACGTTTGTTCTGAACCTATCTTTATCCGCTGATGTAATTCAACGTCTGTCTGGCAACAAAATGACTAAAAACTTGCAAATGAAGCACAGGTTGTCGATTGCTTGCTTCACAGAATGAACAGCGCAGCTCTCCTTCGATTTTGTTGCCCGTGGGACGTGCTTTTTTTTTTTTTAGGTTCTCCCGTCTCTTATGGCCGAAAAACCCCAGTTGTCTGCTCTCGTTCCTCTCCTGAGTGCTGCATGACGGGAGTGCTTTGTGGTGCACACTTGACTCTCAAGGTGCAGCGAGTGCATGGACGCGTGGAGTGGCAACGCCAAAATGAACTCGTGAAGTACACTGGGCACAAGCACTGGGCACAAGCATGTGGCTTTGTCTTGCATCTTGTTTGCGTGCAGAAGTTGCTTCGACAGTATTGCAGAAATTACACTATCCCTGACAATGAAGTACAAAAAGGTTTGTGTTGAGTCTAGACACTGCTGCAAGATTGCCAAGCCAGGAAACCTAAACCGAGCCACCACTAAATGTGTTCTGTTTCAAAATGGCCTAATTGGCAAGACTGAACTGCCACCAAATGTGTTCCGTTGTACAGCACCAAAGTACATCACCAGACATGAGTGTCAAAAAATATACTTACAATGGCTAGCAGCGCCTCATAAAAGTCATGCGATGGCCCTCTGCTTGGCCAGTTAAGCCACACGCAGTGCCGTGCGGGGTACAGGACAGCAGCCATGAGCCGGCCGGTACGTCGACCTGGGGTCCCGCCCATAGTGTTCCGCTGCTGCCTTGAACAAGGTGAAAGCCAGCTCATTGATGTCATGGTCCTCGGGACCTGTGGTGTGTAACCATTGTGTTTAAGTTTGATAGTCACCGACTAATATTTCGTACTCGATGGGGATAGCGCAAAACTCACAATAATCGAGCAGTCCGAAAAAATGAATTTAGCCTAAAAATCATTGTATTGCAATTTTAAGCGCAAAGTTGCTACAGAAAGTGATTGATACAATAGGCTCACAATAATTGAAGCTTGGATATTTTGTACTTCCGGACAATCCAAACAGATTTGAAAACTTTGGTTCTATGTTATGTTTTTAAATTATTTATAAGCCGCTTAATCCGAATGGCGTTTACGCTTAATTCATATCTTTTTTTTTGCTCTCGCGGCCCCGTTGAGTGTGCTTCTGTTCGAGCACCGGTGCACCGCAGAGAAGCGATACCTGCGGAGCGTGATTTCACGAGTGTTGTTTCTCCGCAGTGCACCGGTGCTCATAAAGAAGCACACTCAACGGGGCTCAAGCGGACACACATTAGCGGAAAACAGCGTTCACATTATGTGCTTCAAGACTAGCAATGATGACGAAGACGACATCGAGGATGAGGACCAGCTCACTGGCATCATGCTTTCTGGCCTTTAACCACATAATGTGAACGCCAAGCTGGCGGAATATGCTAGTCTTGACAATGATGTATGTGTTTGTCGTGATGACTCATTAGAGGACATAGTACAGGAAGTAACGCCAGCAAAGTGCAGCAGTGAGAGTGAAGATGACGATGAAGAAAGGGATGACTTGCTACCAACTGTCACAGCCATAGCTTTGAGCACATCGCTCAGCTCCGGAAGTTTCTGTCTGCAAAGGAAGAGTCCCATAAAGAGCTACTTGTGTTGGCTGGTATTAAAAATTTTATTTTGAGATCGTATGTGCTGACAAAACAGTCCACAATCGACAAATTTTTTGCCGGATGAATAAACTTAATGTCACAGCTCTTTCACTAATGTGTTATGCCTGTACTTGCTTATAATTAGGCCTATGTAGAGGAAACTGGCAAAAATCTGCTTTGTATGAGTAGCTATCCATGTAACAAATCATAATGCCGTCCAGTATCATATTTAAATGAATTTCTGATAATTCAAACTAAAATCTGTGACTTCCTAGAGTTTGAATTAATGAGACTCTACTGTAGTTTGCTGTACGGCATTTCGCATTCAGCGAGTCATTTTGTCACTGTACACAGACGAAAGCATAAAAGCGTTCGGACAAGTTACGCATTCACGGCTGCACGATGCTGGCAACTGTAGGGCCGGTCGTTAGACTTTGCCCTTGGTGAAAGAGTCCTGTTTGTAACACTGTGCCGCTGGAGCAAATGCACAGATTGATTGCTACTTCCTTGGCGATACAACCGCTGCCTTCTCACGTCGACACATGGGAAATACCGCAAACAAAAGCAGACACAATCACGACTTCGCAAAGTGAAACCGGAGAGGTCAAGAGCGGAAGAATTGCTTGAGTGTTGACGTGCTATGTGGCATCAACAGCAGAGGCCTACCATTAAAAAAAAAATAATACTAGTTTGCAGTTTCTTTGCTGGATGTGACGTCACGACAACTGACGGCAGCGATTGGCTGGCAGTGACGTAGATTCTTTTGGGGGGAATTTGCCACTGAATTCATAACCTGACATCAAATGTAGTTTCTAAACATGGCAGATATAATCAGGCCAGTTTCCGTCCACAATGCTGCCGCCTAGTCTGTCGCACAGATTATTTCCGTTGCTAAGAGGCAATTGGGGCTTTATGTAAACATAGGCTGGACATGCGTGTAGAAAAAATAACATGAATGACCGACCACATCATTGACTCTTCCAACATATTGCAAAAAAACAAAACAAAAAAACCGACAAGTCAACATTTTTTTTGTTTTTTCTTAATTTTTTAGTGGCTGTCGTGTAACATGGAATGAATGAATGAATTTGGAGTTTTCTGGCGCAGCAGCAACATAGGCCATAGTGCGCCAAACACAAGGTAAGGAGTGTAACATGGAAGTATAAGTACCAAGTAAAATAAAACTAAGGAAAAAGTAGATAACGTAAGGTGTACATGAACTCTATAGATATAATACCAGCCCCAATGGTTTAGCAAAGAAGCCAGTCTTCTCAGAAAAACCCCTCTCTCACTTGAGTCCGTTTTCTAATATTTGAATCTTAAAAAGAAGTAGCCCCGAAAAAGCGGCAGAAAATGCACAAAACAAAGTGACAGTGCCTCAAAAGGTCACACCTGCCTTTTCACATGGCTCTCGGAACTACATGTAGTGCAGGATGCGGAACGGTACCCATGGGCTAGCTGCAGTTGTAACCCAGTGCTTATAGTATATCGCAGCTGCTTGGAAGGGAGAGAGGCCACCTCCTTCATGCCGTGGTACCGGGAAAAGCAATACCAATTAGCCGCAGGCGTCGAGCACATTGTATTTCTGTGCATCCACAAAGCAATTCTGGGACAGCAACGACAGAAAACTTCAGTAACACGGTGAACAAAAAAGAGACCAAAAGAACTGCAGTAGGGTGGAAAGTTGGGCTAGTTGGTAGTTATTCATCTTTGTTTTAAAAGTGCACAAAAGACGAGGACAAAGTAAGAAACACAAACACAAACGAAAGCGCTTGTCCGTCGTTTGTGTTTCTTACTCTGTCCTCGTCTTTTGTGCGCTTAAGAGACCAAAAGAGTAGGCATGCAGGCGAGCGTGAATTGTAGACACAGCTAAAACTCAAGGCACAAGGAAGTAGAAAGAGGGCACTTCAAGAGGCCTTTCGACTTCCCTGCTTGTCGGATTTGAGTCTCGTACCGGGTAGTAAGAAGCAACAATACTGGTTCCCTAGCCTTTCCTGCCTCAAGAAGCCTTGGAACAAAGAAATCCTACTGGTCATTCATTTTGTTTTCTCTTCTTGGGGGGATTACAGAGCACGCTGCGGCAGCAAACTGCCTCGAAGGGGCTCGACTCACACTCCTAAGAGAATGATTGGCAAGCAACTTCTCCATTGTGTACTATGTGCATTCTATGTTTTAAAGGGGATAACTCCGTTGATTTTTTGGTAGACTTCGATTTGGCTGGAAATTTGCAGACCGCATCAATAAGCCTTTTTTAACTGATAACCAAAATATTAAAAAAAATATATATATATTTCCGTGAAGTTATTTAACTTTCAAGTTATGCCGGCCGGGACGGTTCCAGGAGGCGACACTCTACTGGCATCAATGAAAAATCCCTATTTTTCCCTACCCACGTACATCACGGATGTGCAGGCGGACGAGCGACTCGGGCAGCCGCGAAGTGGATTTCCGAACGCCAGCGATCGAGGTAATTTTTTCGCAGCTTCAAGGTTGAAAGTTTCTTTGCAATCTGTGCTCCGCTATAGATTATAGAAACAGTGCCGGGAAATAGCTTCTTTTTTGCCCTTGTTTTCGTGGGAGAAAAAAAAAAGTGTTCCCCAGCAGCAATGGAGGCCAGCCATGTCAAGGAGCTTTTGCGCGAGCTGTGTGGCGAGAGAACTAGTGTCACATGAAACATTTTCACTTTTGCTCTAAATACTTTATAGCCGCGTGCTGCGAGTTGAGTATCCTTCAGCAGCTGGAACAGCTTCAAGAGTGGCAAGCGCAAACTCAAGCCGGCTGTGACCATTACAACATCCGTCCAAAGAGGAGTGCTAAGAACCGAGAAAAATAGTACAGAATCTAGCACTATAGTCAACATTTTGCAAAGTCACATTTGTTACTCCCAATTAGTTCAGAATTTTTTTTTTTTTTTTTTAATTTTTTAGAAACACTATATTTGTTTGGGACGTCGAATCTAGCTCGGGCGACTCTAGGAGTTTCACTCACGCAGCCGATATGTTGAAAACGAGAAGAGAAACGTATAAACGAAGTTCCAGTCTGAGTTTAGACATGACTTTTGACATATTGCTATTCCTGTCTGCTATTACAGAAGTCCATGGATCAGGTGTTGAGCTCCATTAAAGGGGTAGGAAAACGAAATTCCAGCGCTCATTTTCTAGCTTGCACCCTAACCTCAAAAACACCAGTCTTCCGTTGAAAGGCACAAGAAAACTAATTTTCAAGCTAAATAAACAATCTTTCAATGTGCATCTGGTGGATGCATGCGGAGCCTATTTGGGAGGTAATCTAGCGACAATGGGAAACTTGCTACGTAGTCGTGACATAGCAGATTCTTTCGGAGCAGCGCCGCTCTTTGGCATTTCAACGTTTTCCTTCTAGCTTTCCTCCTAGCTCAACTCACAAATCGCGCATTGTACCAAACAATCCAAGAAGACTGAAAAAAAGGACTCCCCTCTTTCTCGGACCCTCGTTCGTGCAACCGGACACATCCATTGTCCCCCTAGAAGATTAGCCCGTCGCTCAAAACTCGAACAAAAGTTGCTTTCCCCACAACGTTCAGCCCTAAGCTGACAGTGTTGTGGAAGCTATGTGCTCCTTGGGCCAGCCACATGCTCGTCGCTCCACGGGTACTTCGAACGGCTTGGTTGTTACGCGCTGACACTACTAACACCACCATAACGCTGACAACGCCACCAAGGGCAAAGCTCATAACCACGCCAGCCTTGCTATGTCACCAATGCGGGGAATCTTTTTTTTCTGTTTTGTGTTTGCGTCGGATATCCCACGACGCATCGCGCTCTCCGTTCACTTCTCTTTGAGTGCTTGCTCGAGTGCACAGTTTGGAACAAAAAATATAGCCAGTCGTTCAAAATGCAAACGTGCGATTATCATTTACGGTTATTATCTGTCATGCTTGACTCATTTCCGAACGAAATTTGAATATTTCGATTTTTGTTTTTGTACCCCTTTAATATACGATAGATCCTTGCCTGGTTTGTCAAATGGTTGGCGTGCAATATTCGCTGCAGAAGAAGTGATGAAAATGTCTAATTTATTATATTGCAAAGAAATTTTATATAGAGCTGAAAAGTTTTTTTTTTTTTTTTTTAATTATGAAAATATTAATGTTGTTAAGGGGAGGCATGCAAATTTACAACTGATGAAAACTGTGCCAAATGAACTTAACTTAAAAAAAATTTACATAGAATTACCCCCTTCCCTATTTTGAATTAAAAGATTTATAATGTCTTTCTGTACCTCACGCACTATTGTATCTTCAAGCAAATATTCTTTATTTGGAGATGAACAGTGTATTTGTGTATTTTATATGCATTTCCCTGCACCTTGATGTTTGGCTTGGTGGTTGCGAAGTTCTTTTAATCGTCATTTTAACACAATCGTCATGACCAGTAACCTGCCATCTGATCTACACGAACGCAGTTCATTCCATTCTATCCTTTTCATTGTTTACGATAATCACAGTCTATATGTCTTAGGTCCCAGCCCAGCATGCACATGTTCATCGCTTTGGAAGGCAAGCAGTGTATGTGCCACACGCATGAACGCTGAAAATGGCATCGACCAGAAGCGCTTTTCAGAAAATGTTTACAGATCTTTTGCTAAATTACTTAAGCACCAAGGAGCATATTCATGCCACAAGAGTAGTCACACGTGCTGACGCCTGCAACAGTAACTTTTCAAAAGAAAATCTAAAACAAATGGCACATTCCTTCAGGTCATATGAGCGTGTGGGGCATCTGTACCCACATTCCGAGCAATTTCCGCGGTGCTTTGGCAATTCACAAAAAATTTATAGCGTGACTCTTCGACCTGTTTTCACCAGCCACCTTCTAATAAAAAAAGAATCGATTTACCAGCGATATCACGAAACTAGCGAGGCGCGGCTTGAGCGTAGCGAGTTGCAAAAGTGGTTTTATGAAATTCCAATTGCTCCCGTTTTTTTTTTTTACGTTCTTATAGTTATGCACATAGACCAAGGCCATACTTTGCGCAAATATATATAATTATCAACTTTAAACAGCACGAATGCCCAGATTTTTTTGCTGTTAGACGCGAGAAAGGCGGGCGCGAGTGTACCCGATTGCCGGCCGCACGCCTTGCTGCACAAAGTGACGTGACGCTTGGGCGGCGGGGAAAACTGGGGAAAAACTAGGGAGAATGATGTTTCGGTTAACTAGAGTGAATCTGGGAGAATGCGATAGCATTTCGGAATCAGGAAGCCATCCGCATTCAGATTATGCCCTTGAATTAGGTAGCTCGAAAAGTCGGAGTTCTCCTTTAAAGGGGTACCCGGCATTTTCTTCATTGTCCCCGATTTGCCTAAAACCTTGCTTAACACACCAACGAACATCGCTAAAATAGTAACCCAAATATTTGGCCAAAATAACTTTTTTTCGCGAAGTTACAGAATTTACAATTAGGGTCATCATCGTGTTTTTCAAAGTGAAAAGCTCTACTGGCAACATTGAAATAGTTACATCATGGGAAGGCAGGGGTTCATTCACTCTTTGGGCTGTAGACTTTGCTCTCAACTGACCACAAACAGTTTCATGGCGTTAAAAGAATGTTTTGGAAGGTTGCTCCAGCTCCCGCGCAGCACGAAACAAATGCTCGGCATAGTTCATTTCTAGACAGCCCACTCGAACCGCAAGCCTGCCATCCCGTGACGCAGGCACGTAGGCAGGGGGGGGGGCCATGGGACCTGGGCCCCACCCCGAAATCTTCCATTTTGCTGGGACCTCCTCTCCCCCTCCCCCTCATACAGCACTTTGTCATAAACAGGCCCCCCCCCCGCCCCCCTCGAAACAAAATCCTGGTTATGTGCCTTCCATGATGTCACGGCAATGAAAAGCACAAGTATACCGTAAAATACCGCGCACATCCGCCCATTCCACATTAAGCGCCCATTACCAAATTTGTGAGATCTGAGGAAATACGTACAGTACATTTATATGTAAAATTGATGACCAGACAAGCGCCCATCCCCCATTTTTTTGCAATTATCTCCAAAGTTTGAGTAGGCGTTTGCCCAGTATTTTACGGTATTTGAATCTTGGTATTGGCGTCATTTTCATTTGCCGATTTCATAATAAATATTTTGAGTTTCGTGATAGCAAATAGCATACCGGAAAGAGTAAAAGATGGCGATTTTGAAAATGTGGTTAGGTGGGGTTGCCCAAAAAATCGCTGGATTTTTTAAGCAGGTCTTTTTTCTGCGAACACGACAGTGGTAGGAACATTACTTGTGTCGAGCTAGGGAAGCCATATTGGGGGCTACCCCAGCTACGTCCACACTGGCTTTCATGGCAGTTATGTGCAATGCAGACAGCTTTCACTATTTCAACCGAGTGCCTAGGCAAACACAGAAGCAGCCACATAAGACAATCAGGAAAAGACGCCGAGTTGTTCAGGCTAAGGAGGAAGGACATAGTGCAGCGAGCTATCTAGTCCAGGCTATTCCTCTGAGAAATGCAGTCGGTGGAAATGTAGGTCAGTTATTCCCGCCATTAATTTAGGTAACTAATGCAAGCATTACACTATTTTGCATCTTTCTCTACTGCAACGCTAGTCATCCGCAGCAGAAACAATGCCCCAAACTAAAAAGAAGTCTCGTTGCATTGTTAACACAGACATCAAGTCCATTAGGAAAGGCCAGCTGTGCCATCCACCTGTACATAAGCGAGCTGGAGTTCATCAAAGCACAACCGAGACTCTCTCGGAAGTACTTGGTTCCTTTTCAGTAGTTATTGAATGAAAACACAGTGCAGTGGTGATTACCATCAGCACAGCCTTGCCACTGCTGTCCCTCGGGTGGCACATGCACGACATGGCCTGCAAGCCACATATATCCCTAAAAGAAAGCTGCATAGGATGCACTTACCGTGGCTAGCGTCGCCACCCAGCGAGCTTGCACAAACCCTCTGCACGGCACGCAGAGCTGTTCAGAACAGAGCGGCACTGGCTAGCCAGTTAATGCGAAGGCTTGTAGTGTTTTGCTGCTGCCTTGGCAAAGCTGCAAGTCACCTCTTTCACGCCTTGTGGTGCCCATCAGCTTCAAAAGAAATGGTGTTGAATCGCGACCAGCTATAACCTGTCGCACAAGGGAGAAAAGGGTGTGAATGTGCAGACTCCTATCTGTTTGCTTTTGTCTAGCGCGTGAGTTTTGTTTGAGAAGAAAACAACAATGACACTTCTTTCACAGTAATATGCAAAACAAAAACGAGAACGGCTCGGTTATTAATAAGTTGTGTGCAGCAGAGGCACGGGTGCGAGTGCGTAGCTCCGCAGAATGTTCTTTTTGCACGGCTGCTCGTACAAAAAGGGCGCTTTTGTGCTCGGGCCTGTGCCTTTTCTGCACACAGCCTATGTTACAGAGTGTATAGCACGCCTTCGAGAGCACTCGCGTGCGGCGAGAAATCCATAATATACAGGGTACGATCGCAGGAAACCTCGCAGGGGTGCAGGAAGCTGCAAGTGCACGGTGCACCAGAATGTGAAACTAGAGGTGGTGATAGAATTTCAGTTTGAGAATATGACGTTACTTGGGTCAAAATACAGAAACGAAAAACGTAACTGCCTTACCGGCTGATGATAAGGGCCATCGGAGTACGACCAACTATTGGTTGTGATCGGGGCATTCGATTGGACGCGGGTTGGTAAAGATTTGAAAAACACGAAAGAATAAAACATGTAGGGACGAAGACAGACAGCGCAGTTCTTTGTTGACATGAAATGTAAGATCAAGCACATTATTCTGTCGGATCAAATGGTTTTGTTGAATTAGGTTTAGCTCGCAAGTCAGCCGTTCTTCGGCGGGCTTTCAGCTTTCTGCGATGGTTGTTTTAATCGTGAACGCAGGCTCAAACAATGTAGGCAACGGCGCCAAATAGATCTGAAACGAAGAAAGAGCTCGGACGCGTGGAACGAACACACATAGAGATCACATACAGGAAAACTCAAACCACTCACCTTTCGTTCGACGACGGTTCGTCAGGCACGATGTTTCCGATGTTTCTCCGGTTTCTCCGGGCGTTGAGGAGACCGCGTCTGTTTCCGTGCTCCTATTGGTCGTGACGTCACCAAATTTCATCCAATAAAGTGCGCGCCGAAGTTCTCTCTAGTCGCCGGTCTCAGAACCGCCTTTTCGATTGGCCAATCGCAACAAAGGCGCGAAAACTCAAATGACGCGTTGCGTAGTGAAAAAATACCTGTTATTTACAATTTGTTTTGTAAAAGTTTAATGCTTCGAATATATTATTTTGAGTAAATATTATATTTACAAGAGCATTTCTTTTTACAAAGCGTTCTCGTGGTTTGTGAAGTTAATCTAGGCTACTCTTAGAAGTTTTCTCTTAAACCGCCTCACAACACTGGGTTGCTTCAATTTTCAATTCGAAACGATCAAGGAAACGATAGACACTTGGGGAAGTTCTTCATCTACTACATCACAGCGCAGTTGGTGCAATAAGTACTTCAAGTGTTTCTGAATTTTTTCACTACAGCTCCAGTGACTTAACCGGTTTGCGTACAGAATTAACTATTCAGGTACCTACCGTTCCGCAAGCATTCGGTGTCTAAGCAGCTCCGTTCTACTGCAAACACCGAGCAGCGGTAGAATCGTCTGCGCGGGAAAATCGAAAGGCCCATTTTCCATCGGTGCTCGCACGACCGCTCTCAGACTCGCGATGAGCAAAACCAAGGAGGTGGCGGCCGAGAAAGCCATCCTGGACTACGTGAAGGCGCAAAATCGACCGTACAGCTCCAACGACATCTTCAACAACCTGCATAAGGAGCACGGCAAGGCCGCCGTGGTGCGCGCCCTCGAACAACTCGCACAGGACAACAAAATCAAGGAGAAGACCTACGGCAAACAGAAGATCTACTTCGCCGACCAGGACGAATTCCCGGACGTCGCCGAGGCCGAGCTGGCCGCCATGGACCAAGAAACGAACGCGCTGGGCGAGAGACTCCAAGAGGCGTCGCGACAACTGCAGGCTCGCGAGTCCCTGCTGAGCTCGCTGAGCAACAGTTTGACGACGGAGCAGGTGGCCGAGAAGATAAAGCAGATGACGGAGGAGAGGGACAAGTTAGTTGCTAGGTTGGAGAAGCTCACCTCTAACACCAGCTTCGTGGAGCCCAAGGTCAGGGACAAGATCTACAAGGACAAGGAGACGGCTGTGAAGGAGTGGCGAAGGAGGAAACGGATGGCAAACGACATGCTGGACGCCATCCTCGAAGGTTACCCCAAGGGCAAGAAGGCTCTCCTTGAAGAGGCTGGTGTTGAGACCGACGAGGATGCCAAAGTTGTGATGCCCAAGTAGCCTCGCAGAAACGAACAAGCCCATGTGTACATTGCCGTAAGCACCGGTGGTTGTAGCGTTGTATATACATATAAACACTGAAAGTCGTCAGAGTGCGAGAAAAGCCGTCCTCCAAGTAACCGGCGTAGGAAGCCGATGAAGACCCTAAACCACTGTTGAGAGACTAGTTGGTGACAGTTTAAGAACTCTGGAGATGCTCGCTGCCTTCCACTGGGCTTTGGCTGTGCATGCAACAAAGTGTTAACAAGAGCTCGCACTCAAGGCGAAACGTCTACTAGATTCTTAACTTGCCACAGACTAGTAGTTACTTTTAAGTCAAACAATGTAAAAGTGAAAAGAACAAGCTTGTGTATTTTTTACTACAAAATTTGCGATGTGTGCAAGTTTCCTTGAACCACAGTGCTGAAAATAAACGAGACAAAGATACACACACATGCCATATAGCCTCTACTTTATTCAACAGAGTCAGGGTCGAACTGGGAGCTACAACCGATGGTACCAAAGGTTATCCGAGCTGAAAGAAAGGCACTCGTAACACAGGCAGACAACGGTTCGGCGACACTGACTAGATCACAAAATCCGCATTCCTACGTACATTACACACCTTTATACTGGCAGTCTTGCTTGGAATGTAGCGCAGTCCTATTGCGCTTTAAACACTTACCCGTTCCACACAAGTTAGAAAAACAAGGCGGTAAATAACAACGAAAATCAGAATGGTAAATAACAAAAAACCAGAATGAATATACGTGGCTGTGGAACTAGGTTATACTTCACATCCTTAACAGCGCAATAAATATGGAGGAATTATTTTACAGGTTGATGCCCGAAACGCATTTCTTATGTCCTGGTTGCTCCTTGAGATGCTCTTGAAGAGCTGGTGTCCTTTTCCAGCTGCTTGCCCAGGTATTCCCTGAAAACAACAAGTACTGTTTGAACACATCCCAACTAAGATCTAATTTATAAAACGGCTAGGGATGTGCAAATATCGCAATTTTCTAATACGAATCAAATATGAATAAGGCGAAAAACTGACTTCGAATATTGAATATGTATCTACTAGTACTAAAATTGCAAAACAAGAGGTAACAGCAGGTTTTATTGCCTTTTTAGAATAAATCAATGCGACTGCATTTTACTGGGCTGCAGAGGGCTAAATATACTTCTAGTAATGCACTCATTACAAATTATCATGCAGGAAAATTAACTGCTCAACGTTTTCAGAAAGTAAGCGCTCCCTACGCGCCGTGACCATATTTCCGCCAGTAGAAAAGACCCTTTCACTCGGGACTGACGTAGCGGGGAGGGCCAGGTACTTCTGGGCGAGTTTGCTTAAATGCGGGTACTACTTGAAGCGACCAATGCACTGCCCCCGCTCGCAAGGATCCTGGCCCCTGTCCAGAAGGGGCTTTTGGGCGTATTCTGTAACTTCCTTCTCTGGGGCAGATTCCCAACTGAGTCTTCTCCTCGTTCATCACTAGATGGTCAAAAGCGTTCCATACACTGGATGCCACCAGTGGATACGAAGACGACGCTGGCATGGCGGTGTCCCTACTCGGTTCCACGTCAGCTGTCTGGAGCTCCCTTGTCACAAGGTCTTCCAGCCAGATCGTATGGCCAGACGCCTGATGAACTGTGGCTTTAAAACGAGGGTCAAGAAACATGGCCAGGCTGGCCACTTCATCAAAATCGCAGTCCACAAAGCGAGTCTTAATGCATTTTTTTAGGTTGTCAGGAAACCCCGAGTTACCTTTGCAACGTTCGAGACAATGCAGCATTCCAAAAATAATTGGAATTTGACACAACATCAGCACTGGTGATCACAGTTGCATCAAACAAGGGCTTCAATGCCTCCACAAACTCCTTTGCATCTCTCCACTCGGCAGAGTTGATGGTGGTGTCCAAAGTGGCAAGCTCAAAAGCGATGGCTTCTTTGAGATCGAGGAGCTTTGAGAGCATGAGGTATGATGACTATTCCATCTTGTGTCAACATCCTAGACAATATGGAGCAAGTCTTTGTTCAGCTGAGTCTGCAGATTGTCCAGTCGTTTCTGCGCACTAGGGCTATGCTTGTAATGTCTAACAACCGGTCTCACCTTCTTGCAGTTTGTTGATAGCCGAGGTACACGTCTTCACATTGCTGATCGCCAATTGCACTGTGAGCGCGAAACTGGCTCGCTCGAACTATGGCAGCAGCTCGGACATTGCGGCCGTTGTCCGTCACAATGTACTTCAAGCAGTCGGTCGGTATCTCCCAGTCGGCGCATAGTTGCTTCAATGAAGCAGCAATGTTCACTGCCATGTGACTCTCCGGCATATGTCGCGTGCTCAAAGTGAACCTTTTAATCTCGAATTTCACGGTGAGAAAATGACATATAAGGCTTAAAAAGCCATCGTCCGCACGCGAGGTCCAGATATCACTCGTAAAAGAGAGAGTGTTTGTTCCGTCATCAAGTGCCTTTCACAGCTCGGCCCGTACCTTTGCTTTTGTGTCATCATACAGGCGCGGGACGAGCACACGCAACAATTGTGTTCGAGAGGGCAGACTGTAGCCAGGCATGGCTTCTTTGAGTGCCTTGAACCCTTAGTTTTCCACAAAGTTGTAACGCTGGAGATCTAAGGCGACCATCTCTGCCACTTTTTGATGAAGTGTGTTTTCTTTCTTCTGTGAAAAGGGCTGCTTTCTCTGCTAAAGTATTTATATCATCCAGTGTCAGTTGACTCTTTAACGGCATATTCGCTGCATCTCTTTTGTACTCTTCCATCAACAAAGGGTGCTGCTTCATGTGATTTTGAAGAGTTGTGGTGGTTCCTGTCGGCGTTCGAAGAACACGTTCGGACGACTTGCACTGAGCTGTCCACGACAAGAGTCTTGTGTAGTACCGCCAAAGAAGACTTTTTCCGGCTTTCTTTTCCTGCTTGCTCGGTAACTCATCATCCGCAGTTGATGCCATTCTCGGAGAACACGCTCGAGCGAGGACGGTATCAGCCACTTTGGTATTAGCACCAAAAGAGTTGCGCAGCGGCACAGCTGGTGTGGTTTGTGTTTTGACTGCGCGGGAGTGGCAGGAGTTGTTGTTGATGGCGATGCAATGTTCCGCTCGCACCTAGCTTTTTTTGTTTTTAATTTTCAGACATTTATAATAGATAACACTCGAGATCTATTTTATATTTCACTCTCGAGGTTTATTTTACTGTATCAATTTATAGAGCACGCAATTACATCACATATTGCTATAAAAGTGCCACACAACACAGGGCTTGGTGAAAAAGAAACTGAAACTGATCCTGTCTTGCCGCCATCGGACAGATAGAAACGAAGCATGCGAAAACAAAGATAACGCATAATACGCATTTCTCACTGAATAAACGTATTCATAGGGGAATGCGTGGCAGGCAGATTATTCGTTAGTTGCTCGAATATTTGCAGTTTGTGCGAATATTCGCCGTTTTTCCCAAATATTCGGCTGTGATCGAATATTAGGGAACTTCTGAATATGCAATTTTCGAATCGAATGTGTTTGGAATAAGGAAAATATTCACACACACAGGCACAAAGTATGGACCTGGACTACACTAAAGAACAGTCCTCAGTAGCAGACGGTAGGCAAATAATGCTCGTTAAATGGAGCGTTTTGCATGGTACTGAACAAATGAGAAACTTTTGCTTGCATCTTGCACAAATGTATTCTACAACTGAGCACAATACCGAAGAACAGGATGTTAAATTGCCCTTCAAAGAGTTTTATTATGGAACTTGTGCAGGAGCCCACAGAACAAACATGGGATGTCATATCAAGATTTAGATTCAAAAGCTTGGCCGGCATGTAGTCGTGTATCACTACTGCGTGATGCACGTACCTAAGGCTAGCAGTCACGCTGCACTCTGGCTAAATTTCGTAACCCCACAACTGAGACCAACTTCTCACTGCCTAAACATACATGAAACACAATTATTAAGACCTTTATGCACAAGTCCCGTCTGAAAGAGGTTTTTATCGACATCCAGAATACTTCCCACAGGATCCTTCAAAGTCGTCCGCGGCTTCGCAACAGGCTTAGTCGGCCCTTCCGAATTACTTGGGTATACAAGCGGACTTGAAAGGAGCACAATAACCAATTGCGGAGTGAGGGGGCAAATAGGAATATAGAAGTAGAATGGGGCTCACCAGTTGTGCACCATCAGCTTCTGGACACAGAGCAGGGCTTCGTAACGCACATTCGGGTCTTCGTGGCTAAGGAGTTGCATCACAAGCTGCTTGCCTCCCAGCTTCTCTATGACCCTGCAGGGGAAGGTGTAGGTGTCCCGAGGTTAGAGCCGGTGGCGAAACGAGGGCAGAATGCGGACACAGTAAAACATTTATTTAGAGCAGAATTGATAAACAAACAATGTCAACAATGTAGTACTGTTGACATTGTTAGCGACATGATCAGTTTCAACTGCTTTACAGTCAGCGTTCCATGCAGAAAGAAACACCAAGACAATACATCAGTTACACCTAGGGTTTCGTGTTTTGGGATAAATCCTAAATACTCCGAACAACACCCTCCGGTAAAATTTTGGTCAATTCGGATTCATCTGATAAGCTCTGAATTTCGATGTGCCAAAGCACACGTGTTTTCTGCACCAAACACCCGGTCAGTTCTTCAAGTTATAGGGTGTTCTTCAGGTAACAGAGCCATGAAATTTTTCTACCATCATTTCGGGATTGCCACTTGCGCTATTCCTGTAGCCTATACTTTCTTTTAGGCAGAGCTCACTGTTTTCATAGCATGCTCCATTACCAGCCTATATTCTTCAATTGCCACTTTAGGGATCACAGCGTCTATGCTGAAAACTGCGGTAAGCGGCGCCACAGTAAGAATAATGCCGGAACAACAAACGGCAAGCAACATCAACAGAAAGGAGACTGAAGTAGACACACTGTTTTCCACGGGGGTAGTAGCGGACGTATTCCCCAACGTCGTGGGCAGCCACGCTCAGCACCAGAGGGTCCTTGCTGGACTCCAGGAGGTGAACCAGGATCCTGAGCGTGCAGAAAGGTATTTATTGCATTCTTCAGCGCTAACAACCCCACAGCATTTAGTTCCCCTTAAGGTTTGACACCACTCAACATAGTGGTTCAGTCGTGGATCTAAAAATCTTTTGCTCTGAAGCCTCGAAGCTCAGCTGAGATGTACACCATGTTACACTCCAGGCACATAGCCAGGGGGAGGGGCCCATGGGGCCCAGGCCCCCCCCCCCCCCCGAAATATTCCATTTTGCTGGGACCTCCTCTCCCCCTCCCCCTCATACAGGATTCTGTCATGGGCGGCCCCCTTTCCCTTCCCTTCCTCCCTTTCCCCCTTCCCTTCTCTTCCCCCCTTCCTTCCCCCTTCCCTTCCCTTCTTCCCCCCCCCCCCCCCCCCCCCCCCCGAAACAAAATCCTGGCTATGTGCCTGCTACACTCATTCTATTAATTTGCCTTAGTCTGTAATTCAAAGACTCAACATTAAGCATTTTCATTTGCTTTCTGAATCTAAGTGCCTCCTCCGCTCGTGTAGGCATAACTTTCTGTAGGGAGTTCAACAAATGTGAGGCCCATAACAAATAACTGCACCTCACACAGTGACTTAAATCTCCAGTTTCGAAGGCTGGACGCAGAGGCTGCTTTTTAAACCTTACTTTGGGCAGACAAAACTTACTGCAGCTGGTAATAGTATGTAACAGAAAAGATGAAACAATAAAGAGTATGGGTAAGTTTTGAAACACTGGAGTGCAAGACCTTTGCTCATGAGAAATTTTGTGTAGAGTATTCACTTGATAAATCTTCAACTTAGAAACTCTAATCAAGCTTTATTAAAAAGCAAAAATCCCGACGTTTCGGAACCAACTCGGTCCCTTGATCACGGGTGACTGTTTTTGTCCCGCGGAACGGCCTGCCCACGAACCCGAACACCCCCGGGTGTTTTCCGGATTACCCTCTTAACCCCGAAACGTAGCTGCTGGGAAGGGTCCCCGTCGACCAGTTTATGTTGCCACGTGTGCATTGAATGTGCCACGACTCCAACAGGAGGCGCCTCCGCCAGTTTTTCTCCGTTCGTGGCACATTCAATGCACACGTGGCAACAAAAACCGGTCGACGGGGACCCTTCCCAGCAGCTACGTTTCGGGGTTAAGAGGGATAATCCGGAAAACACCCGGGGGTGTTCGGGTTCGTGGGCAGGCCGTTCCGCGGGACAAAAACAGTCACCCGTGATCAAGGGACCGAGTTGGTTCCGAAACGTCGGGATTTTTGCTTTTTAATAAAGCTTGGTTAGAGTTTCTAAGTTGAAGATTTATTAATCATTCCTAACCAGACGGATGTCCGTCGAAAATGTTTACATTTAAGTATTCACTTGATTGTAAGGGTATGGGTAAGTTGTGAAACACCGAAGTATAAGAATCTCACTCCTGGGAGACAGTGAGTAAATTATTTACTCGACTCTAATGTGTCAACCTTTCTATACAGCATGGTGTGGAGTGTGGATCATTGCTATCTAGAGGAAGGGATGAGCAAAAGAAAGCCACACATAACGCAGACTGAAAACATTGCCCTGGGATTTCGAGCGTGACATTTGACATGCTCGGAACCCTTGTGCAGACCGCACTTTCGGTTTCAAACATCTCGCGACCCGTGCCTCATCATTCGCTGTAAACCGCAATAACGGGTTGATCACGTGCTGTACAACTGAATAGATGCACCGGCTTTGTCGATCAAAAAAGGCTGCATTGGGTGCGCGTGTATGGGCTATGCTTCGACGCAGGGTCAGAATGTGGCCCTCACTTGAGGAGCTCGTAGTTCTTTTCATTGAGCTTGTCTGCGTTCTCCCTCCAGAACTTCTCCGAGCTGTGCACGGGGCCCCACTCCAGCCGGCCGGACTTGATTTCGGTGGCGTACTCATCAAATGAGCTGAGACAAGAAAGAGAAACGAGGCAGGAACTCATAAAACTACTGGATAGCTATCTTACAGCAACAAGCTCGAAATCAACCAGGGTGTCGAACTGTAACCGTAACTGAACCGTTTATTTTGCCCGAACCGGAACAGAACCCAAACCAAAAATGTTTGGAGTCATTTTGAAGCTGAACCTGAACTGGAGCACAATAAAAGAACCATTCCGAACCGATTTGCCAAACGGTTTCGGCGTGCATTCGCGCTACTATTCCGTGGGCTGTGCAGCGAAAATTTGGAGAGGCTTAACGCTGCATAGCAAGTACTTTTTAGATGTAAATTACCTAACACTGCTTATGCAAATATTTTTGCAGTGTTGGGTAATTTACATCTAAAAAGTACTTGATGTAAGGTACAAAGTAAATGAGTAAGGTACAAAGTAAATCATATTAGCCTAGTTTGCACACTTGCGTTAGAGTGTGACTGACTGCGCTTGTAACTGGTTAAGACGATAATTTGTAAAATCGATTACTTTTCACCTAGAAAATTTGTAATAAATTATTCGTGCCTCGTGGGGTCACGGAATTTGTTAACTGAACAGGAATTCAACATAGTGGTCAAAAACACATTGAACACGGATCGTTGGCCGGTACTTCCATTTTACTTTGTTACGCCAGCACTTTTATGTTACAGGCCTTTGTTATAAAGGCGTTGTACTATTTTCAATATAACATTTTTTCCTTTTTTGCACTTTCAATTTTCGTCTCAAAATGTATTTAGAATCACAGTTGTGATGGTACTGTTATTAATTAATAACAGTCCCAAAGATGGTAATAACACACAAGTCTTAAGCACAGCAGGAATTACTGGCAGAAATAAAGGCTACTCATACTGTATTAAATCTAAACGCTTTCTTCATTACTTGTCTGTTCAATATTTGACTCTGTATTTGCATTTTGTTTCATATAGTGTTCATACTCAATCTGCATTAAAAACCTTGACCCTTATCAAAACACATATCTGGTCACCAACCTCACAGCAAACAATTAGCACACACACAAAACACAGCATACACAACACATACAAAATAAAACATCAGCACAATGCTGTGTTTTGTGTTTACTAATTGTGCGCTGCGAAGTCGGTCCCATGTTCAACCAACTCACCCAAGCTGCAGTTTTGACATTTCTGGTCTCAGAACTGTCAGCCAAAGGAAAACAGAAAGAGAGCTGGGGGTCCCAACCTTATGCCCTTGGCGCTGGTGTTCAGCCTCAACTAATTGTACTATACCAAATTCTAACCACTTTTACCGTCATGTAATTTTCGATGTTTGACTCAGTGTTCAAATTCCATACCGCTTGTACTCGATTTGCATTCGAAAACCTCGACCTCTGCACGTCCCAAATCTAAGCACATGTCAGCTCTACGAGCTGTCAGCCATAGGAAAGAGGGATGCATTGCTGAAAACAGTGCGAAAAGATATGGCAAACGAAGGAAGAACTGGCAAGACCAAGCGGGGTCCCCACCTCATGTCCTGCACGCTGGTGTTCAGCCTCTCCTCCAGGAACTCAATGTCCTCCACGATGTCGGGGTCCTCAAACTTCTTTCCCTGGAGGATCTCCAGCTGCTTTGAGACCTTGCACTGCACCATGGCTATGGCATTGTCCCGTCGGATCTCAGTCTCCTCGGGCTTCTCAATCAGGTTCTGCAAACAGAACATTGAAAATTCATCAGGTTCTGCAAATGGAACATCAAGAGTTTATCAGGTCCTGCATATGGAACATCACAAGTTCATCAGTTTCTGCAAATGAAACATCACAGGTTCATGACCTTCTGCGTAATGGAACATCACAAGTTTATCAATTTCTGCCTAATGAAACATCAAGAGCTCATCAGGTTCTGCAAAGAGAGGATTGCAAGTTTAGGGGCTGCTTGTCTATGGGAACCCCATTCCCATACTCCCCAAATTCCCCCAGATAAACAAACACAGCGTCATTCACTCGAAAGCACCAGCTAGCTGGTGGCTTGGAAATGAGGAGGATACAAACATTATCCAAGGACATCTTTTTCTTACAGAAGTAAACTGCAGGTCTTATCTAGACAGTAAAACTAATAACAAAAAACATTCTTCTAAAATTTTGTTTTTTCTAGAAATGGTGCACTTTGCACCCAAGTGGGATCATTTTGCCAAGCTTGCTTGCTTTCTTTTTTTCTTTCTTTTTTTGTAAGCTTTAGAATGAATATTACCTTAGACAAATATAGCAAGGGAAAACTAGCAGTAACCATCAAGATTGAAACTAACAATCCAAGAGAGAGATGTGATGCCACTGTCACCTCAGCACAGGCACAAATGTTGCATTTGCATTTTTTTTTTCACTATTGCACATGATGTCATCAGCTCGATCAGTTCATTGACTGTCCACTGAATTTGCAGGTCAAGGAATAACTGTATGAGATCAAATAATTTGCACTCTCTCCACAAACAGGGCCAGTTTATCTGCTTCTCTGCAAGGCTTGCCCATTCCTTGCAATCTACCAAAAGAGGGGGAGCACCAGTTCCCCTCTCCCGCACCTGCTTCAGCAAAAATTATACAAAAATTACGAAATAAAAACAGGGAGCATGTCCTCAAGATCACAGCACGAATTACCGGTACAAAGATGCATACCCTAAAAGTCGCCAGGATGATACGCGTCACTTTCTCCTTGCCGGATTCGCTCAGAATGTCGGCCAAGATGGGAATGACATTATACCTGCGAAGAAACGCAACGTAATGAAGTTACTTCGTAGCCGCCATTTCGCCGTTGTAGATGGCTCAAGAGCCAAGGAGAGCCGCAGACGACTCACTTGTGCATCCGTTGCGCTAGGTTGACGTTGAAGGTCATCACCCACAGACAAAAAGTGAGCTGGTACTGAATCTGGAAGTTCACCCTCCCTGCCAACACCGTCACGAGGCTGCAAAAGTGGCGTAAGGGCGAGCAGATTAATAAAACATAATCAGCATGGAAACGCCGTGACGAATGGACAATACTGCTTCCACATGACTTGTCGCACACCGCCATCTATTTGTGCAGGCAATTCCTGTCTCTCTTTCTCTCACAAGGTTTCCTCTTCATTCTCTGTTAGTGTGTCATACAGTCCTCCCTTTGATCCTTGGCTTTCTTTAGCTTCGTCAAACCACCAGACATTGCTTGCCTATGCAATGTCTCAAGCTCGAGTAAAAAGACAACCATTTATGATATGTTGGATGACCTCCTTCCTCCTAGTGAAATGTGGGACATGCTAACTGAGAGGAGGTGAAGGGGAAGGGAGGGTAAGAGGAGGGCAGTATTCTTATGACTGCGGCAACTACAAAAAATATATTAGAGGAAATTTATTAACAAGCACGCCACGAAATCTGGTTCTGCTGACAACATCCTGTGTTGCCTGAAACCCTATATTTTTTTTTTTTTTTTTACCATTGTGAGTTGCAGGCTTTTTGCCTTCTATGGCCATTTTCACAAAAAAAAAAAAAAAAGTTTCCAGAGCAACCTTTTTGCATTGACAGAGCTTGACTTAAAAATAATTACAATATTATTAAATTTTTAACTTTTGGCAAGCAATCATTTTTGCAATATTTGTCACCAAGAAGAGAGGGGCAAAACAGTGCCTGCGCATGGGTTCTCCTGCAAGAACGACGGTTGCTTCCTGCAATTCTTGGATAGAAAATGCCGTACCATCGCGATTCACACGTTTACCAGCAACCTCCGCACGTCTCAATACCCCGTTGTTTAGCAGCGCCATGAGTTGAATTGTGAATTTTACGACAGAGCGAAATGTGGGGCATTTTGGAGGTTTTGTTATACCTTGCAGAATGCGGGACTTGAGCACTCAATGCAGGGCAGTCCCGCGAGTCGCACGACAAGTGGTCACCCTAATGATATGGCTGTCTCTTTACTCCTCATCGTGGGTTTATTAAAAGCCCAGAACAAAAACTTAAGGCTTCTGGAGTGTAGCACCAGAAATCACGAAATGAAACTGTCTCGATTTCATCTTAGTGATATATACTAGAAACGTTCGGTTAGATTTATTGAAAGAGGAGAGGAAACATTTTTTTCTTCCACTGCACATTGTAGTCAATTATGTATCAACCTGGTGCACTCATGACAATCAATATGCCATATTTCAATACAGTGCAGCTACATAGAAAGCTTGGATCCTCAATTCCAGCAACTACGCATAACAGTTTTGCAAAGATGTTTTGATAAGTATTTTTTCTGCACTGAGCGATTACAAAGTTGCAAAAAAACTTATCTGATGCAACCATCACTACTCTCATGATCTGTTTGTAATACAAAATGTTGGAAACAAAACGAAGCTCACGTTGAGATGCCGTCCACAGCAACGAAGACCAGCCTGTACTCATCGATGCGCAGCATCATCTGAAGACACCTTGCCACCGACTGAATGTACTCGTTGTTCTGCAAACAGGAGAGCACGAGAAGTTCACCCTAAGCTATTCCTCACTTTAAAGCAGTATTAATACAAGAACTGAAGTGATCCACGGTCCATGGTTAGTTTCATCATAGTTTATCAAAAAAAAAGATGCCCACCTCCCCCTCTCCACAAAGAAATGAATGCTTGATTTATTATTAAAAATGTAGCAGGAACACCTTCCTTTGAAATGTATCTCGACTACGTAAGGGGAACTGGCCACGGCTGTATGTATACATACTGTCATGAATGGAAAGTTGTAAACAAATGTAAAACTGAAAATAAATGTTTAATGAGGCGAACTTGTATCAAGCATCCTGCGTCGGCGAAAGAAGACTGCCTCGAAGCTGCCAATACAGCTGCATTCACACACACTGTGTGTTTAAAGGCTCGTTCACATACTTGCAACCACTTAGAACCGGGTGCCTTGGAATCTCATAACAACTCTTACAACAAGAGAACACACTGGCGCCATCTATTGAGTAGCAGTGTAAACTTGGCGGTCCGGCATATTAATGCAAAAGCAGTAACTGTCTTATGGAGCGAGCTGACGTCATCAGTTTGATGCGCGAAAACGGCACATAGTTTCCCCGATCCTTCAGTTCTATTGGCTGGCGCGCGTCGACGGGGCTCCCCTTGAATGCTGCGATCGTCAGTTTCCACGACCGCTTTCCCCATGGCGCTGCGTGTCCATCAGCGCGGAGCGTCCACGGTCACCAGGGGAGCACACGAGCTGACCGGCGACGAAAAGTTTGCAGCAGACGAAAAAGGAAGCGGACAAGCGGCCTGCATGCTTTCGCATTCACAACTCATAAGGAATGCTTAGGTGTGCCTCAATCTTTTTTTTTTCTATTTCTCTCGTGCATTTTCTTTTCTTTCTTAGCTCGAAAAACTTTTGTTAACGTTATCAACAAGCCTTTCTCATAGGTATTATGCACATTTGACCTCGGAAATCCTGCAAAACCTTCGTTCTTGTGAAATGCAGTTCCAGGGTCACCACATAGATGGCGCCAGCAGGCCAGTGTGTTCTCTCGTCCTAAGAAATTTTAAGAGGTTTCAACAGGTCTTGTCTCTCTCGGTCGTACTCGGTTGCAAGCGTGTCAACGGGCCTTAATATGTTCTGAACCGAAACACTCGATTACAGCCGAGAATGGGCAGGAGCCTTCCAGAAAAGTCCAGAGTTATAAAAAAAAAAAAAAAAAGATCCGGGCCGAGCAGGGCTCAAGGCTTGTCCCTCCATATGGGAGCCGCATTTGTTGCCAAATCCCCAATGCATGCGGCAATATATATCCTCGATTGCACAACTTCATAGCAAGGCAGAGCGTAAGGTGCTTCTGCAGCATGAGCACACACAGAGCAAGACCTTCATTCAAAACTATCTGCCAGTGCTGAAAGCTATCACCGATACGCTGAACAAAACAGGGTTGTGTGTGGCAAAGCATAAAAGTAAAGTGTAAGCAAGGTGTCTAGAGTGAGGAGAGTCCTTACCGGCATCCTGAGCTGGTCCTTGAGCCAGGTGAGGTAGTACTGCAGGTCGGACCCTTCCATGGGCTCCCGACCCCAGCAGGCTATCTTGGCAATAATCCTGCTCGTCTGCAAATGCCAACGATCTCACTTGCTATAACTACAGAAGTGAAAAGAATTCAACACAAACACACTGCAGGAGTTTATCCTATGCTTTCCGCATTTTCTTTTAACTTTGTAGTAGCTGTATCAACCAATACCCTCAGCTGCTAACAATATACCTTTTATCTTTTTATAAGTGCCACTTTGTGGAATTTACAATAACTTTAAATTCTAAAGAATTCCCCACTGTCTACTCTACACTTTACTAGGCTTTTGAATTTAGAGGTGAAGCAGCCTTTCTACGCTGCCGTCCACCGCTGCCTCGTATTTAGCCCTAGACAGGGTGGCTAGGTTAACAGATTGTCTATTTTTTCTCTCGACAATTTAATAATTCCCAGACATTTAAAAACCCATTTCGAGCTTGAGCAGAGCTATGTCACAACTGCAACGGCTGGCCATGCATGTTTCCACACACCATGTTCATGATGAAACCGTCTTGACGGTTCAGCAAGTTGAGGAAGAGTGTCCAGACGTTGTCCTTGTTCTTGCGCGAGTACTCCTTGAAAATCTCCACACGAGTCTTGTCTTCCTGGAATGGCACAAAACCCGCTAAAAATTAGCATCACGAAAAGGTCATACTTGACACTCCGGAGACACATTCACATGTGGATGTGTTATCGATGCTCCTATACTTGGATGAAGTGCTCTCAGGTTGTGCAATGAAATCTAGTATATACCATGCATGCAACAAGCATCGACCATCCTCAATCTTCCGTGAGCATTTACACCCTAGAAGTAACTTTAAAAATTTTAGGGGGGTTCCATGTCCCCTAAGAAAATGGAAAACGAAAGGAGATTGTTTTTGTCGTTCAGCACGCGGACCATAATGTACATTTCTTGCACTGCAGAGTAAAATCTGCGTTACATATGAAAGCAAAGAGATTTTTCGACTGTAGAAACCTTCTTCTAGTCAGTGTGTAGGAATGACACGGTGGAAGCACAAAATCACTGGAAACTATGTTTGTTTCCATGCTGCCCACGAGAACCAAGCAGCGATAGCAGACGACAGTGTCAAACGACCTTCTCTCTTGAGCTTCTCAACGTTGCTGCTACGGGCCGTCGATTTCGCTGGAGTCGCCAATACACCAACTCATGTTTACAAACAAACTGGAGTGCCCCTAGTGGCACGTCACCGGCGCTGCACATGCGCGATGGGGTGTGGACAAGAAGCGCCACATCCTTCCTGCATCAACAAACCATTGGAATGTGATGCTGTCGGCATTGGTGCGAGTCACCATACTTTTTTTTTTTTTTCGGAGTTGGAACTCTTGATTTTATGTTTTCCTAGCCAGTGGCGTAGCCAGGGGGGGGAGCTTATGGGGCTTCAGCCACCCACCCTCCCCCCCTCCGAAATCCAGCCGACCCTATAATATTCACATGCATTTTGACCCCCCTTCCCCCCCCTCCGCACCCCAAATCATGAACATTCCAACCACCTCTGTCCCCCCCCCCCCCCCCTCCCCCCCCCCGAAAACAATTCCTGTCTACGCTACTGTTCCTAGCGATGTCTTACTACTTCAGAGGCCTGACCAAAATTAACCAGGCCGATTACACCGCAAAACTTAGTGTAAATAATGTGACATGCAGCAATTCATTATGTGTGAATGCCGCAGAATGAACGGCAACTCCGGTCCATACTTTCAATTTGGGGATTATGACTGTTTTTAGTGCAGTAAGCGTCTTTGAATTGCAAGGTGTAATTTTTTCTCGTTATTGTACATAGTTTTAAAGATATCGACGTTTCAAAGCTTTGTTTGGGGCGCAGCCAACAAAACCAAAACTAGCCACTCGAGGCCCCGGCAACACCGGAAATCAGCCGCTATGTGAATGTGCCGTCAGGATCGTTCTCGTTCAACGAGTACGCAGGCCGAGCGGCACCTACCCGTGTTGCGCTAGCCGTCTAAAGATAAGAGGTAAGCTGATTTTGTTTTAATTCTGTATACGCGGTAGTTATCCAGCATATGTAGCAAGAGTTAGTGCGTATACCCAAAAGCTAGCGACTGGAAAACCCGTGAACTCGTACGGTGCCGTACTCGGCGGCCGCCGCCGTGCGTGCGCTGTGCCGTACTCGTCGCTTGTACACCCAAAAGCTAGCGACTGGAAAACGAGTGAACTCGTTTGCTGTTGTACTCGGCAGCTGTCGCCGTGTGTGCGGTCTTCCGTACTCGTCGCTAGGCCTAAATTGTCATCGGGGCTCCGTGGATGGAGCGGTGTTGCTCTACGCCGCGCTGCCAGCGACGTACAGTACTGGGGGCCCTCTCGCTATCACGCTGCGGGTCAGTCCCAGACACGAAGCTTTGAGGCTCTCCGGCGCGGGCCGCGGCGCCCGAACACACGTGTGCTGGGCTGTACACGTCTGTTTTTTTGTTCTTTTTTCCTCGGGCACGTAAAAGCCTAAGTCCAAAGTTCACTCGTTTAACAGCGTTCACCCACATCTTCTCCAATTTCCGGTCCGTTGGAAACTTGTGAAAAAGCACCTAAAAGCACCTCCGAGTTGCGCAGCGGGTTGTTTGAGCAGCCCACAGCGCTACAAGTTGCACTCGGCATCTTTAGAGGAACAGCTGGGCAGTCTTGGGCGCACCGAGTTGCTCACTAAAACGAGTCTTGAAGTCCTCACAAGCAAATAAACAAAAGGCTCTACCAAAGCTTCACGGGCTACAGATAAAAGCAACGGCTAAACACACCAATCACAAGCCGAAGTAGCGGTGGTAGCGGCTCAAAGAAGTGCACTCTGCGCAATGCCCGGACCGGAGGAAAAAAAGATAACGATACTGACGTCACAGCCCGATGTTGCTTTAGCGATCGGCAACCCGCTGGCCGCCCGCTAAGGAGCAGCGGCTCGCGGCAGGTCGCATTTTAGAGCGCAGCTCTTAGGGGCCCATTCCCGGCTTGAGCGGCGTCGGCGTCGCCGTCGGCGTAACCAAGGTCACCCGACCCCCCAAGGTCATCCCAAGGTCACGTGACCCCCCCCCCTCCCCGAGGTCACGTAACCACCCCCCAGGGTCACGTGACCCCCTCGCCGAGGTCATTGTCACTGATGACGTCACCGGCATCCACATCGTCATCATCACTGATGACTCATCAGTGACGTCACTGATGACGTCACCGACATCCGCATCGTCATCATCGCTGATGACGTCATCGGAGTCCGCATCGTCATTGTCACTGATGACGTCATCAGTGACGTCACTCATGACCTCACCAGCATCCGCATCGTCATCATCACTGATGGCATCATCAGTGACGTCACTGATGACGTCACCGGCATCCGCATCGTCATCATCACGGATGACGTCATAAATGACGTCACTGATGACATCATCGGCATCGTCACGTGACCCCCCCCCCCCCCCCCCCCGGTCACTTCACCCCCAGTACCCTTCCCTCCTCCTCCTCAAGAGCTGCGCTCTAATTCGGTGTTACAGGGAGTTGTAAACGGCTTTCACTTTTTTATTATCGGCATTAGTTGAGAATGCGGCGCCCCACGGGCGAAATATTTTGGGTGAGGTCGTATTTTGTGTCACTACAGCAATACCAGTAATTTATTTTATTTCGAGTTTTGGCCGGAGTTGCCCTTTAAGTCTGATTTGCATGATGAGATTCTACTTGCTATTTTCAGTCGCAACGTTGCTCAGGCTGCAAAAGCATAGACGGTAGCCGTGATGCTCGATGTCGATACTGCAAATCGCAAGCAGAGTCAGACCAAGTGATTTGGGTAGAACAAGTCGGTGATGGCCACTGGTAACGATGATCAAGATAGTGTGTTTGCATCTACTGTTTACACCGAGCCTACTTACACCAAACAACCTTTAAATTTACGGTAAGTGTTTTAAGGCCTGCACTTCCTTTTTGTCGCAACGTTTGGTTTATTGGCCGCCATCGTTTGAACGAGCAGACTACAGTTTTAACAAGTCCGAACTATCAGACGGCTGTTTGAACGTCCTAAACATGGTCCGTGGTAGTGTGGAAGACTTGACTGTTTTCCTGCATTCATGTCGAAACAAAACAAATAATCTGCTGGCTACAAGTATCCGTGAATTCAACCCAAAGTGTTTCCCGCACAAGCAGTCACAGTCTGACAGCGTCTGGTTTTCTCTTTTCACGGCACCTATCCACAATCTCGGACGAACCGACCAGGCAGAAAGCACATGAAACCTGATCTTCACACCTTTCCCGGCTCTTTTGGTACAGACCCAGTTGCGGCGTTTTGATAAGAAGGCAGGTTTTAATCTGGTTTCTTCCAAAACACAGGAACGCTCATCCCGCACGGCAGCTTCCGCCCACACCCCTAGATCGGAACTGTGATTAAACAGTCCCCACCATGGCATGATGTAAGAGTTGAGTTGGTGTGTACAGCAAAAAAGGGATGAGTCCTTTCAGCAGCCTGGGGATGCTATGCGACTGTGGCGAGTGCTTTTGTCAGATTCGAGATGACTCAACCAGGCTCTGAACTCTGAGCAGATCATGGAGTCACCACCTCCGAGCAGCTGAGGCGACTGCCACTGAAACAGCACACCCCTTCCAGTATGTTAGTCACGTGAAGGTGTAGCAGAGCTTGTCAACAGATACTTTCCATATCAATTGAAGAAAAAAACATTTAAACACCTGTTGGTACTCAAAGTTCTCAATACTTAAGTAGCCTCAAAAGTACATAAGCACTTCTTTTCTTAACTTCGCCTAAACCGGGGAGATTATATTCTTAGGATGATCTCTTGTAAATGCTGCCAGGAACATCCATCCAACTGTTGTGCTTAGCCTTTTATAACTACCATGCACGGAGTGTCCAGTGGCATCAGAACAGGGGGAGGGAAATCCCCGCACCCCTTCCGTTGCCCCTTCATTTTTTGAACCCTAGGATTACCTATGAAGAAGCAAAGGAGCATGTTGTGACGGCCTTCAAAAGAATGGCTCAGATCATGTCACGATCCTGGCAATCCACCATGTTAGAGAACACTGGTGCCACCTGACAGAATACTGGGTTCGAGGATTTCGAGGATGAAACAATGCACGGATTAGAAAGGAAAGGGAAGAAGTGTCTTAGAACAAACTTGGGGTAAAAAAAAGATGTCACAATAGGAACAAAAGAGACTTTGGGGGAGCCCAATCTAGGTCACTGCAGCTCAATGAAGCCTGTAGAATCTTGTTTCCTTGGTCGAGAAAGTGCCCGCACTCGCTTGAGCATGCGTTTACGCATTTTTACACCAGAACCTTCTGCACCAGCAATTTTCTGAAATGGTGGTTATGAAACTGATGGTGCAACGGACACAGAGGGTGTAGGCATTGCTCGCGTCGCAGCAATCTAAATCTGATGTTACCGTTCGCTGAACGTGCCAGCGAACAAAGGTAAGAGCAATAGCACTTACTTTTCTTTTTCCAGTTGCTATACAGGCCTGAGATTTATACCCCAATCTGTGAATCGAAATGGATATTCTAATCCGTAGAGTGAAAACATTGGTGAGCACTTTGAGGCTTCTGGAAGGGTCCTTTTCAAGTTCCTTCCACCAGCTCAGACCACCTTTGTGATTTGTCTTAACAGTCGCGCCAGAAACATTTTCGGGACATCAGCGCAACGTATGAATGAAAGGGCATAAGGGTACCTGAAGCATCTCGTCGATCATGATTAGGATGTACTGGACAGTCTGGTCTTTGGACACGTTCACCAGGAGGTTGAGCAGGGTCTTGGCCGATTGGAGACGTTGCTGCTTGAGCAGAGCGCTGCGGCTCTCGGGTGTAGCCTTGTCCAGGGCCACAATGACCGTGTACTCCTCCTGGCTCATCATGTGGCTCCTGCCATTGGAAATCGCCACGTCCAAAGAGACACTCTACAAGTGGTGCACAAACACTCCTCAAGGTGTGGACAAACACTCCCCGAGCTGTGTAGAAACGGTGGCAAGATAGCCGTGCCTGTCAAAGGGGTCAAAATTCTGCAAGGGCATTTTTTACGGGGTGCGGCAGTACGAGCTGGTACAGTGGCATTCAAGACAGCCATGACAGCGTCTGCGAATGCTGCCACAGATTGCCCGAACCAGGTTTTCTGTTTGTTTTTCTTGAACGAGGAAAGTTCATCTGTTGATATTTTTACTCCAAGCTTCCATCAGCTAGCTGCACCTCTGTAATAAACCGCAGAGCAATACGTAGAGAAACCCGACTTTTGCGGACCACCTAGAGTGGGTTCGAAGCAAAGTGCACATGCTGTATTCGTGGTTCAATATATAAACCATGCTTAAGCCCATTTGTCACTGACTGCATAGACAATCAGCATGGATAGTGACAAAATAAAGCTACCCAAATAAGCACGACTAGTAACATGTATACAATTTAGGTTCATAAAAGGTTAAGAGATGAGAATGAAACGTGCACTTACTGTACGTACGACTGCCAGTTAATCCTCTGTTGACGTATTTCATTGGCTCGCTGGTGAAGAACACTGGTTGCAGCCAAGACACCTGTGAAAGGTAGAAAGATGTTGTTAGTGATTCCGGCAAAGAAGTAAAGCAGAAGAGCTTGTGGAAGTATGAGCAGCTTGCGTGTTTACGAAAATATACACGCTTGTGGCGTAGCACTACTAAAAATGAATCCATTAATGACGGAGTACAGTCCCCCACACTATGAAAGACCCATTCGCCGAGGCAGTTTATGTGCCAGTTCTAAGCACGCTTTGATCAAAGGCACTTCGTTTATTTCCCTAGCCCAATGATAAAGCGAATCCAGAACAGCCGCCTAAAACCCCTCAGAGAAGGGGCACAAAACACTTGGCTCTCATCATCGCTCGGTGGAGGCGGAGACGTTCACGATGTCAAACCTGGTCAAACCGCTCGCTATGAAAGTGATTTTAGCAATTATGGAAGTTACTGACCTCCTTTCTCGATATCGTCGGGCAGAGCGGTCAAAACGGAGCCAATCTTTGTGGTGAGAGACATTTTTTCGTGTTGGAGATCACCGACAGCAGCAGACGTCACGTGAGTGAGGAGACACCCGCTAGCTCGGCAAACTGACGGCCGGACGTGAGTGAGTTCGCGATTTTGCGACGCTAAAGAACTTCGGCTGTTGGCTTTCCTCCAGCCTAGCAAGTAAAATACAAAGATTGTTTAGACAACAACCGATGTTTGGATGTTTATGCCGGGAACGTCCGCAGAAAATCAAACGATAACAAACAAGAACCCCGAAAGCAGATAAGGGCTTGACGCAACGCCTGTTTAGCGTGTCTGACCGCAACTCAAAGTTGTGGCGCTAGTTTCGAGAAAACTAGTGAGCCTCCCTAGAGAAAACCTGCTTTGCTTCCGCCATCTATGTTGTAGAAAAGGTACCAACCTCAAACCGAAACCAGTGCCTTTCTGTTCGGAGTGATGGGTGGGAATGCGAGAGTGCAGTCGCTACCAACGTTTATCTACAAACGTTGGTCGCTGCAAGCTGTAGTTTATATTTACGATGACTTCAAGCAACTCGGCTGGCGTAGAGATAGTTACAGACGGCGTAAATTTCCGCAACCAGCTGTCTACAAAGCAGCTGGTTGCTGATGCTGTCCGAGCAGAAACGTGATCCGTTTGAGCATGGTATTCTGCGTGAACTAAAGCCACTGGATCCTGGGAAAGTAGCGCCATTGCCTTCCCTACCTGCTAGCCGGACACGAACGGATACTAACATACAGACGACCCAAACCTCGCAAGGCGATTGGCTAATTGGTCTGGGTTGCCATGGAAATCGCCATCTTGGTCCATTTAAATCTTCGAAGCTTCCAGGGGGTCGTTCTAAACCAGTCGCGCCAAGATCACCATGGAGCATCATCGTACTGGAAGCGTTCTCCGCCAATATAAGAGTCCTTTGCACTTTGTATGCGATTAAGTTATTAATCATGCAGATCTCTATGGATCTCTTACAATTATATTGTTCTTCTTGCGTATTTCAAGACAGTAAACTTATTTTTCAGTGCCTACAAGCACCGACACAGCATCTGGTGCTGTTACGAAAGTGTACGCTTGTTTCGCCGGTGTGTGGTTAGCGAAATCTCGGCATACAAGAAACGTCTCCATGAAGCTACCCGTCACCAGCGAATCTAGATCGGCTGACCAAGAACGGAGGGGTCAAGGAGAAATTGCTCATTTCATGGACCAACATGAAATCACTGGATCCTTTCCCAGGATCCAGTGACTTTAGCGTGAACCACTGAAAGGGTACGGCTTAAAACTAGTCTGTTGGAATATCCAGCAAAAGTTTTCGTGGAACTTTCGATTTCGATCGTCACAGGGGCGGATCCAGGACTCGATTTTGGGGGGCGGAAAATTTGTAGGGATACTATTCTCTTATTCTTTCTTGTGCACCGGGGTGTCCACCAATGGCAAATTGCCCTCCGAGAAGGGGGGAGGAGGGGGTCGACTTTGCTTGGGGGGAAAGGGGGGGGGGGGGCAGTCGCCCCCCCCCCCCCCCCCCTTGGATCCGCCACTGGATCGTCATTACAGGTGGATCAGATATTAGCCTTGGTGAGGGCGTCGAGAACGAGAGCTCTCTCGAACAAAATACGACGGGGCAAGTTAGCTGACGTAGGTAAATGTTAAACATGATGATGTTGCCCAATCTTCGGGTAAAGTCGCTTCCTCTGATGCTTATGCGGAGGGCAAGTTCGTCTGCTTCTTGCGCAGGGGGGTAGCGGTGACGTCAGAACGCCGAGCGCTGATTGGCTGATCGCGACCCCCCTATCTGAGCGTCGTCTGCTTTTTTGCAACGTCGTCTGCTCACAACGTCGTCTGCGTCTGTCTTACCTTTCCTGCGACTTTCGGAAGTGCAGGCGACGATCTTACGCTAAAAATGTGCGTAAGAATAACTTAAGAACAAATTAGTATACACGAAACGAAATTTTCGCAAGTTTTGCGCAGGTTACGACGAAATCCTACGACAACTCCGAAGCTGTCTTACCCACTTCTTACGATCAAATCAGCATGGCCGACAGCGTCGCGGTCGCGACGACCCACGGACGTTTATTTTTCTCCGTGCGCTTCTCACGCGTCCCGACTTCATGCAGCAAAAAAAAAAAAAAAAAAAGTAAAAAGTACTTGAAACAGACCATGACGAACAAGAACGCTGGATCCACAAACACCCGGGAAAAGCTCCATAGGCCACGAGTCCACCGAACGCGACCAAGCGAGCACGGCAGTTAGGCCTAGCAGGCACTCCTCGACTCGGCGACCGTCTGCCCACGACCGGCTGGTGAGCTGAATCGAATATGCCCGCGCGACCCTTGTGAACCCTTCCCGTATTATACTTTGATCGCTGACCTCAGTTTGAGATTAAGAGGTCAATTTCTTCCTCTTGTTATCTCCTTGTTTCCCGAGGAAACGGTGACTCTCGCCGGTGAAAAAGCGGTGTATCTCCGACAGACGCAGGAAAGGTAAAGCAGCCAACGCTTTGACTAGCAGACGTAAAGCAGACGACGTTAACTGCGCCAACCCGCCGACGCCGTTAAAAATGAGGGGTCTCGCCGCACACGAAAGGAGGGAAAAAGTATTTGGGAGGGAACTTGCGGACACTAACACGCTCACTCTCGGTTCTTGGCAAACAAACCTAGGCGCCTCGGGACACCTCTCCAGTGACTGCTTTGACTTCCCCCCTTGATGCGCGTCTGCTAGTTGTTACACAAAAACAACGTACCGCTCGAGTTATTTCGTCTGCCCTCTCTGAAAGGCGAAGTCGAGCTCGCTCGGAAAGACCTGCACTTCCGAAAGTCGCAGGAAAGGTAAGACAGACGCAGACGATGTTGCGAGCAGACGACGGGTCAAAGGAGCAGACGACGCTGAGATAGGGGGTCGCGATCAGCCAATCAGGGCTCGGCGTTCAGACGTCACCGCCACTTCCTGTCTCATGCGCAGAAGACGAAAATGAGCCCACTTGCGAGGCGTATTGGGCAGTCAGGTTTCTGCTGGGGGAGTTTTGTCGACAAATGTTAAATTTTTCACCCGCACAGGGATGGTGATAAACATCTCGGGGGCCGCTGATGCGTCTGTTCTGAGCATTTCTTTACACACTGGTATATTTCAGCCTCTGTACGGCAACAGAGAGACTTAAAACCTGCCAATAAAGAACGGTTCGTCAATTGCTTCCTCCATGAAATAGGAGACGCTCACAATTCAAGCTCGCGTTTGATTCCGCTGCCCGCGGGACGCGATTTCTATCAGAAAATCTACTTTTTTTTCTTTCGGTTTCGCGACACATCGTAGCAGACGAACCCTCGTCGTCTGCTCCCGCTCCTCACCGGAGCGAGGCATGACGGAATTGCGTTTTGGTGCACTCCCGATTTTCTCGGTGCAGCGCAGGGTTCTAGTCAAAGGGGGTGTCCCAATAGCTCGGGGGGGGGGGGGGGGGGGGGGGGGCGAGGCGAGGCGAGGCTAGATAAAATATAAAACTGTTTCTTTTCTAGTCCACTAGCTAAATTACAGACGTCTATTAACCAAATGCTTATACCCGTAATGTATGTTTCCCTTTCTCCTTTCTCATACCCGTAATGTATGTTTCCCTTTCCTTTAAGTAGGAAACACCACCTGAGAGGTGGTGTTTTCTACTTAATCTGAAAAAAAAAAAAAAATTATTTTATTTTTTTCCTCTTTTAGATTCAAGCGGGGGGTGTCCAGGAAAACTAGGGGGGGTCTAGGGAAATCCCTGGTGCAGCGAGTGCATGCACACGTGAGGTGCCAGGGTTGAAACGAACTCAAAGAGTGCAATCACTCGTCAAGTGCCTACTGATACGAACCCGCTCCAGGCTGCGAGTGGGCACGCGTGGGCACGCGTGGGCACGAGTGCCGTGAAACGAACTCGCTATAATCCAACGAGGACCTCGTTGAGAGAATCGCATTACAATTTACAACGCTGCGGGCTGCATAACTTCGAGATCAAGATACGTTGTTAGAAAGACTGAAAGAGAGGACTTTCAGACGTTTTTAGGGGGGAACGCGAATATAATAGAGCCAGGGGTTTCCCCAGGAATTGAAATTAAAAACAATCTAAATTTTTTTTTTTTTTTGGGGGGGGGGGGGGGGGGGGGGTGTCGAAAGGGTGTCGAAAAGGCAAACAGCGCACAGTAAACGGGACTAAAGGAAGTGCAAACAGGACAAGCGCTATTCTATTCGAGGGTGGGCCAGCGGTCGAAATAAAGGGGGAGGGGGGAGTAAAAAAAATTGAAAAAACAATTATTACCAAGATATTTCTTTATAGAAGGTTTATTATCACTACCTATACCACGTGATACATTCATCCAAAATTTCTGTCACGAAATATACGGCATCGATGTAAAATGATGCACTGGAAAATCGGGCGCCTGCACATAGAAAGCTCACATTCTTAACGGAAGTGTATTTTAATCGTGGACGCATTCCTGTAAACTTTCTCGGCGCAGCTCCGTTCCTGTGAAAGGTTATAACAATGCATTCTTGAACATTTCAAAGAAAGGTTTACCACAGGTGGACGCAGTCGTCCTTCGGTGGTAAACCTTCACTGGCAATGTCCTTTATTTTTATTTCAGCATGTTTCCTGTTTTTATGGTCGTTTTTGAAGGTTGTAAAACAGTCTGTGTATAATAGTGTGTTCGCCTGAACATAGAAGGCTGGCTCGCCAACGCCAAAAACCAAATGGTGTTTCGAAAACCAGGCACAGAAATATAGGCGAGAACGCAGGGGCAGATCCAAGGGGGGGGGGGGGGGGCGACGGGGACGGCCGCCCCCCTCCCCCCCCCCAAACAAGGTCGACCCCCCTTCCCCCCTTCTCGGAGGGCAATTCGACATGGGTGGACCCCCCGGTTCACACGAAAGAATGGAGAGAATAGTATCCTTGCAAATTTTCCGCCCCCCCCCCCCCCCCCCAAAAAAAAAAAAAAAAAAAAAAAAAAAAAAAACGGAGTTCTGGATTTGTTTTTGCGAGAACGCCGTAATTCTTTGATGCCTCCGACGACCGCCGCGAAGCGGCGCTTCAACACTGACTGCAGTGCAATCTCCCCCTTGAAAACCTGTGTCGCCTGCTAAGACTTCCTCTTGCTTTGGGAGTTGGGATACTTTATTCCCTCAACTTGCTACATCTGTAGGCAGTCCCTCGTTCAAGAAGGGCTTTTTTTCTTGCGCCCAGACCATCTCCCCTCCTCGCACTTTGGCTCTCACCACGGAAGCAATTACCCAACCCTGGTAGTTGCACAAACCACACACACACAAAAAAAAAGAAGATTGAAGAAATTTGTTGTTCTT